AGTCAGGATTTTGGACAGTATGTCGGTATTAATGGTCAGGATTTTGGACAAAATAATGGTATTACAAGTCAGGATTTTGGACAGTATGTCGGTATTAGTGGTCAAGATTTCGGACAAAATAATGGTATTACTAGTCAGGATTTTGGACAAGATGTCGGTATTAATGGTCAGGATTTTGGACAAAATAATGGTATTACAAGTCAGGATTTTGGACAGTATGTCGGTATTACTGGTCAGGATTTTGGTAAAAATAATGGTATTACTAGTCAGGATTTTGGACAAGATGTCGGTATTAATGGTCAGGATTTTGGACAAAATAATGGTATTACAAGTCAGGATTTTGGACAGTATGTCGGTATTACTGGTCAAGATTTCGGACAAAATAATGGTATTACTAGTCAGGATTTTGGACAGTATGTCGGTATTACTGGTCAGGATTTTGGACAAAATAATGGTATTACTAGTAAGGATTTTGGACAGTATGTCTCCCTCTACCCGAGGTTGTCATTTTAACGCTCTATTCCTTCAACGAGAAACAAAATATGTGATTGGTACGAATATATTATGGTAACAACCCAAAATCAACGATAAATGTTTACTTGGTTAAAATCACACGTGGAATACAGATATTATTAAATAAAAATAGAGAAAAAAAAAAGAAATTTTAAGCTTTTGTAACAGTTCATTAAAATTAAAATATTATTATCCGAAGAACAACAACAACAAAAACTAGCTACACGAACCTGTACACGGGCCTCTGTCAGCTTGGTTCTCTGAGCCAGCTCCTCCCTTGTGTACACATCCGGGTATTGGGTTCGCTCAAAGGCACGTTCTAGCTCTTCCAGTTGTTCCGCCGTAAAAGTTGTCCTGGACCGTCTTTGTTTTCTCTTCAGGGGAATCCCAGGCTCTGAGTCACAGTCAGAATCGTCGTTACTGGTTCGACCTGTCGGAAGACGAACACAGTTGTCATGCGCATAGTGTGAAACGTTTATGTCCAATAATCAGTGTTCAAGTAAACTATATTATTATTATTATTACTATTTTCTTGAACGCGAGTTGGCCCTATGGTAAAGCTCTAAATTATGGAGCCGGGTTCGAATCTACGCGATTCCGCGTAAATATTCCCAACACTCTAAAACCTGATAGCCATAAACACAAATCACAATTTGTTTTGTATTGCAGATGTCACTTATAGGAACTGGGAAGACAGGCCCTTAACGTGGGATTGTATGGATTTCAGATGCCCTTTTACTCACCAGCGATAATATGAATTATATATATAAGTAGTAGAAGAATATGTAACATTAGAGTTAGAAACTCATTCTTCCATAGTGTACTAGGCCTAGCATGAGCCTGATGGTTAGAGGTGAGTAGGTCGCAGGTTCAAATCCCGTCCACAGATACGCTCACCCTTTCAGCCGCTTCGGGCGTAATAGTGTGACGATAAATTCTATTCGTTGGTAAAGAGTAGCCCAAGAATCGGCGGTGGGTGGTGTTGATTAACTTTCTTCCCTCTAGTCTGACACTTAGGGACGTCTAGCGCTCGAGTCGCTTTGCACGAAATTCAAAACGAACAAACCGAACTGTGCAAGACTTTTGAAAAAGGAAGAGGCCTTTTGTACCTGACCCCCCCCCCTGGTCTATTAAGACTTTTTTTGCGATTTGTTTTGCCAAAATCCACAAAGTTGAATTTACAGATAACGCATCAGATTAATGGTATTAGTCACCATCAAAAAAATATCTAAGTGCTTAACAAATAGAGAACCAGATGTTCTATTAAGCAGGATAAATAACAGTTTGGTTAGTTCATTTGTTTATGGTAAAGCTTCTAAGGATATCAGTCACAGTACCAAATTTCCAGTACCCTACCACCCACCATCTACGCTAACGGATTGAATGTCACTGTTATAATGCACCGAATTCTCGGGCTACTCCTGACCAAAAAAGAGTGGGATTAGCCGTCACATTATAACTCTTCCTCGGCTAAAGGGCAAGGATGTTCGACGCTCGGTTTCGATCCCTCGACTCGCATATTATGAGCTCGTGCTCGATTCAACTTGTTTAGTTGATTGTTCCAGATCCTGCAAAGTTATTCATAATCCCAAGTTAGAGTCCCTTTGTATTTCGAACGAGTTCGGATGAATAGAACCGAATATTTTAAGCGCATTTTCTGAAGTCCATCTGGAAGCATTCAGCAGCTATGAAACTATTCATCCGGAGGGAGCAACACGTCACTATTTTGTTTCCCAGTTAGGGTTAACAAGGTTGAAGAAAAACCACTTAATTTTCACATTCAACGCCCTCTAACTATAGGTTGTTGCGCTATATAATTCTATGATAAATTAAATCAATTCATCAACGTCTAAGTATTTATCGAAGAAGTGGAGAGCACATGTGGGGTACGCTAGTCTTGAAACGATCATCACGTTTTCATGGCACGACACAGTAGGTAACCATTTAATCAGCGAGGTGTCTGAACAGCAAAGGGGTGTGAGTGGGGGGGGGAGAACAAAAACAAATACAGCTGGCTCTATGAAAAAAAAACTATGTTTAAGTAATTATTCCACACTACGCAAAAATTGTTAAACATGCCCTCTAGTATTAAACTCCATCAACAGGTGGCGCCTCTATCTGAAGTTTGATAGATGACCTATTCACTGACTTTTATTCATTGTATGCACAGAAACCATAAAAAAAAGAATACAACATAAATAACTACGCATTTCGTTAATATTTATCAAAATTCGTGGATTAGGAGTTATTCGTGAAAAGTGCAACGAATCGGAAATGCAAAACTTTAACACAGAACTTTCGGGACCAGGATCAAAGTGATCAGCTTAGGCATGAAGTAATTAAATTTCATAATCCAATAAAGTGAAAAATTCGGAGAAAAGCCAAGCAAAACCAGATGTTCCAATGCACAATATCAAGAGGGGGATTTCCCTGTTTCTAAAGAATGTAAAAATGTCATCCATTATATGGCTTAAGAGACGTCTGCCAAAGAACCACAGGTTCATCCTTCCCTTCTGCTTAGCGTTACCTCTCACGTAAGTTAAGAAAGCGAAATTTTGATTCGAATGTCAACCGTGACGAAAATGGCGTAAAAAGACCGCGCGAATCATCTCCGTTCGAATGAAATAGGCTTAGCTTTAGAGGCCGGGAGGGGTGTTATAGAAGGTCAAAAGTAAACTGTATAGTTGTAGCCCTAGACTATAGGGGTCACAGTAATTTCTTGTTGTTATATTTGTATTGAATATTGAAAAACACAAAATATAAATAAAAAAGATACAGCTTTAACGGTTCCAAGTCTTAAAGGCGGGAATTTTTAGGAATCCTAGTTCATCACAGTGACACCGGGGGGATGTTTACAGAGGTCTCCATGCAACCAATGGAATGGCGCAATACTAGAGATGATAACTGTAAGTTCCTCTTGTAAAGTCTTAATCCGCACTGTTTACTGCTCTCAGATAAATAACAAATAGAATGCGACCAATCACATTCAACCATCGTTTACTGTTTCTTTATAAACAACCAATAAGACAGGGTTTTACAATAGCAGAGTTGTTTAAACCATACTCAACTTGAAAAAACAATAACGAATAATGTGTTAATGTCGAACCAAAATTTTTAAGTGAACTGTACCAATTTATATGTTCTTATTTTATCACATCCTAAGAGGACTCTACGCATAAATTAAAAACGGAATCTACGACATTACCTTCTTAGCTATTCTGTACATTTCTTGCTGCTACTGTGTTCTTTTTTTTTTTTTTGGCACATGCCTAATTATACATAAGTTTCACCACACATTCATCCGATATGTTACTAAGTGCTAACACAATGGTAAATGTCTTATTTGGCGGGTCGAGCGCGGTCTAGTGGTTAATAATATCTTAACTAATAATTCTGACGTCCAGACCAATTATACGAACCTTCTAAGTAACAATACTGAAATTCTGGTGACCAACAATGCAATCATCTTGTCCAAAATCCTGACCAGTAATACCTAACTTAATAGTAGTAACTTAATGTTATGGAGCCTTACACAGTAACTGAGTTATGGGTTTGTACAGCCATTGTTGTAAAGGTTCACTTACTTAGTGTTATGGAGCCTTACACAGTAACTGAGTTATGGGTTCGTACAGCCATTGTTGTAAAGGTTCACCTGTTTAGTGTTATGGAACCTTGCACAGTAACTGAGTTATGGGTTCGTACCGCCATTGTTGTAAAGGTTCACCTACTTACTGTTATGGGGTCTTTGCAAGAAAGTGCTCCACGTTTTGGGGCAATGAGCTGCCTTCCCTCTAGTCTATCGGTTCAACTAATTATGGATGGCTAGGTGTAGCTTTGCGAGAAAACTCTAAGCAAATAAATGAAAACGTCCCCCATCTAAGCCTACAATTCGCTTGTGGGAAAACATTTGATCCATAAGTGAAGAGAAGACGTCGGGTATAATAGTAGTAACTTAATAGTAGTTATGGGTTCGTACAGCCATTGTTGTAAGGGTTCACCTACTTCTCAGTTACTGTGTAAGGCTCCATAACACTAAGTAGGTGAACCTTTACAACAATGGTTTCTAACTGTAGTTCCGTCCAAAGTGATACTTCCATAATCAATGGGAAAGTTCATAGTAACCATATAAATCATAAAATATTCAAAATTGGTTCAGGTGTTCCTCTTTTATATATATATAATTTATCATTGAGACTCTGTTTGGATACTGCCCAGTGGCACAGCGGTATGTCTGCGGACTAACAACGCTAGAAACCGGGTTTCGATACCAGTGCTGGGCAGAGCACAGATAGCCCATTGTGTAAATTTGTGCTTAACTTCAAAACAACCAAACTGTTTCGATATTTGTGATATTAATTTGCTTTATACACACACACTTACTTGCTGGGACAATGGAGCTCCGTTGATACAAGTTTCTGGAGTAAAAGATGGGTAGGAAGACGCTAGGCCATTCTGTGGCAGGTTAGTTTGAGGATGGAGTCCTGATGACGCTACAGAAGCTCCTGAATTGGTCAAGGTTTGGGAGGGACGTATCCAGTTCGTATTATCTGCCAAAATAGTACACTTTAGTAATTTATTTGAATCCAGGCAGTTATAGCTGCTGCGATACTGAACTTTTTCGGAAAACTGTGAAAAAAAAAACACATCATAACAACAATGATGAAAACCCCTAAATGTTGTTTTATGGAAGTACATCAAACCGAAACTTGTTTTGTGAATATATTTCAATGTATTTGAAACCATGAGAAACAGACAAAGGTTTCGCATGAAGACTGTGAATTCCAAAATCAGTTAAAATATATCTCAGGAATAAATACTACAGTCGGTAAAGTATTCTAACCTATGAACTGCAAAATGAGTCAATTTTTGACATGAAAACTATGAAATGCAAAATCAGTCAAAATATATTTCTAAAATAAATACTACAGACGGTCAAGTATTCTAATCTAAGATTTTTTTACCAACATGAATTAGCAAACCTAAGCTTGCATTTAATTCCTGGTGATTATTTTGTAAATTTTAAGAAACGCTACTTTTATTTCCTTTTTGTGTTCCATATACTGGCTTACCGTGATGTTGAAGACCATTTCCAGCACCACTGGAGTCCCCGATTGGCTGGTAATGAGTGGTTGCAGTGGCAGTTGGCTGAGGGTAGCCCATGGGCAACGATAAGACTGCAGCGCTTGGACTGAAGGTCGCCATCTGGTGGTGGCTTCCCATCTGCTTTCTCCATCGTGCTCTTCTATTACTGAACCAAACCTGAAAAGCACAGCATTTTACGATCAACACTTCTAAGGAGATTAAGTCTATACCGAATAACAAAGCAATAGCTTATAACACAAAGGGAAAACTTTAGAAGAATTAAAAGCTAAGCCTAAATCATTTACTTAGCATACTTGTAGAGAAATAAATAAATGTGTGTAACAAAAATCCACAATTTCGTTTAAACAAACAACAAAGTATCTAAACATAAAATCTATTCGTTTGACGCGATTAGAAGCATTTTTTCTAAATAAAACATTATCTACAAGAGTCTAAAGCATTAATCAATGTCCACTGGTGGCCATGCGGTACGTCTATGGGCTTATAACGGTAAATATCGGAGTTCGATACCCGCCGTGGCACATCACAGATAGCTCATTGTGTAGCTTTGCGGTTAACAACAAACAAACAAACGTGACTCAATCCAAAGTAATATTTTGTTTGTTTGAATTTAAGCACAAAGCTACACAATGGGCTATCTGTGCTCTGCCCACCACGGGTATCGAAACCCAGTTTCTAGCGTTGTAAGTCTGCAAACTTACCACTGTGTCACTGGGGGGCTCAAAGTAATATAACAGCATCAAATGGAAAACAAAAATACACAAACACACACTAAAAAAAGGTTTGTAAAGCCTCAAACAGATATTGCTGTAAATATTATAACGTGTAATTTCTTACAGGCTAGCACAGCTGTTGTTGCAGAGGTTCACACAGTTACTGTTGTAAAGGTTCACCTACTTAGTGTTATGGAACCATGCACAGTAACTGAGTGATGGGTTTGTACAGCGAAAAATAAAAGCTTGAGAAGTTGGAAAATGAATGTTCTCTAGTTACCATCGCCATTCCTACACCACTGGACATTTATTCTTCGTATTGTTGCCTGGTTTGTTAAGACTAAATATTGTTCACTTGACTAATTCACTTACATGGACAACGAAAATAACTTACTAACAGTGTCCGACATAAGTGTTTCTAAGGTAACTAAGATTAAGTTATGGAGTTTATTTCTTTTGGGGTAGAGAAGCCCATTCCAAACAAGGAAAAACAAACATTTTACTTATTTGACCATGGCATTAGAGGATCGCAGTCCAGATACACAGAACAAAATAATAAGTTTTACAGGGTACTAATAAGCGGCAAGTTTTGTTGAATTTAGAAAAATCCAAGGGACGCGGCATGCTCTCTTGATTTCTGTCTAAGGTTCACCAAAGCGTTACAGGACACTTCAAAGTCTTTACACATCTGAGGAGCATTTGCTGTAAAAGAATCGGCGGAAATTAGACAATAAACAATAAAACGTGGAAGTTAATAATGTTTCCTGTATGTTATTCAAAGACAAAATAATTTTTCAGGCAAATTCGAATAGAAAAAATGATAATTTTTTTAGCGTAAACATTTAATTTTTAAACAGCATGTGGAAAAAATGGAGAGCACTAAGTTTATAGACATACAACGCTAAAATCTGGGGTTCGATTCCCCGCGGTAGACACAACAGATAATCCAATGTGGCTTTGCTCTAAAACAAATACTCAATAATCGTACATATGTTATCATAATACATCAATTTTACTGGCTAATTATGCGTTAAAATTGAATTTAAATGATGCAATTCCATAGCATCACTAACCATATACCAGAACTTAAAATTGGTATTAGACCCAGAATATGTTATAAAAGCCACATGACTTGCAAATGTATTTTCCCGCATTTCTCTTAACGTTCCTCTTAAAAATCTATATTTTTCGTCATTTATATTTCAATAGTATTATTTTCTAATAAATTTTATAAATAAATTATTAAAGTAAAATTTCTTCTGAAATTGCAGGGGGTGACTAGTGCCCCATCCTTGTGGATGATGTAGAGAAAATGTTCCCTATAACGCCATTTGTATATACAATATAACATCCCAGATGCAAAAGTCTAACCGCCGAAGGTCAATGAAGCATTTGAAATCAATAGGCCTAAAATATTTGATAAAAATCGCGTTAACTGCAGATGTTTTTTTCATCTTTTTTTTTCACCTTTCTTTTAATTTGTTCATTGTGGATTCAAAATCGTAGACATGTAAAAATAGAATTCCAGATAGTTCTTTTGTCTTCCACAAGTATCTGCCAAGAGGCCTTTTGGTCAATACCAGAAATTGTCATTTGGCTTGGACTATAAGAGACAGACGATTCCTTGAAACTGAACAGACAAATTAAGGGGATTGTGGGAAAGAAACGTGCAGCTCACGTGATTTTCATCACAGATTTTAGGTCTTTTGTACTACCAGCTTTCGGTGTATAAACAATAAAGCTAATAACAGTTAACCCATACCTGTCAATTCTCCCGTATTTTACTACTATTCGTAGTCTCTATTAAACTGCAGAATGCGTTTATAATTTAACCAATTTATAAAAGTGTTTGTTTGTAGTCAAGCACAAAGCTACACAATGGGCTATCTGTGCTCTACCCACCACAGGTATCGAAACCCGGATTCTAGCGTTGTAAGTCCGCAGTCTTACACTGGGGAGCATTTATAAAAGTAGGCCTATAGCTGTTTACTGTTAAGTAGTGTCATAATTTTATTTAACAAAGAAAAAAATTGTATTCTCTATATTGAAAATCTGATTAGTGTGACAGACATGTGTTGCTTTAAAACAACTCCCTGAAAAATTATTACAACAAAAGATAGGGAAAAAAAGATAAAAACAACAACTTTACTTTAAATTCTAGAAACCTGGATTTTAAGATTTTAACATATTTATAATGTTGACTGCTTCCCAAACAATTAAGGCGAAAAAAGAATCAAATACATTTAGATTTATGGTAATAATTACCTGATGGAAACTGTCCAGTGTACGGAAATGATCCTTTTACTTCCATGGGCATTGAAGAATGAGTGGTGGTCAGGTTGTTAAATGGATTGCTGATGAAAGATTCAGCTCCAGGCAACATTCTAATGTCAAATAAAGGTTGTAAGTTAAATGTTAAAATAAAGCCAAAAATCTGTAATTTGTACGTGATTATTAGAATTTAAAGTTATTGTAAAGTAGTGCCATCTTCAGGGTGATATACAAGTTAAGTATGTTTCTTCTATAACTATATCTACTCGTTACAAACATGCTCGCCCTTTCAGCCGTGGGGACGTTATAACGTGATGGTGAATCCCACTATTCGTTTGTAAAATAATAATCCAATAGTTGATGGTGGGTATGTTGACTAGCTGCCTTCACCTTTAGACTATCACTACTAAATTAGGGATGACTGGCGCAGTCAGCCCTCTAGTAGCTTTGCACGAAATTAAAACCAAACCAAACCTACTCATGATAATAACTTAGATTTGTATGTAAAAATTTACGTTTGAATTAGTTTTGAATAAACTAAGAAATTTGATTAAATCTTACTTCAAAGTTATAAGTTTTGAAACATATTGCCCTGGTATAATTCAGATAAAACCTATAAATGTGGCATTTAAAACCTTCCAATGAAATATGAACTCCACGAGCACATACTTTTTAAAATTTTAAATTTATATCACACCAGATGGAGTCTCATTTATTGCCAAAGTAAACATAATTACCCGTAGTTATCGCACGAAGTTGTGGGAAATGACGGCCATGGTGCGACGGAAGTAGACGCGTCGTTTCTTCCAGCGATAGGAGGCGCTGCCCAAATGTCGTTCCCGGTGCTGATTGGTGGAATGTGAGGATGAAACTCTGGGACCGTTGATGCAATGTTTGAAACAGAATTTCCTGGAGCTCCAAGAAAGTTTAACATCTGTAGAAAAATAATAAATGCAGTCACATTTAGGGCACATTATACTCTGATGTTATCTGCTCTACGTACCTGTAGCATTACATTAAAAATTAGCACACATGAGGAAACAGGAAAATGGATAAAAAGAGAGAGAGAGAGACAAGAAAAAAAAGAGAAGAGAAGCAAAGAAGAGACAAATGAAAAGAATATAGTGAAAAAGGAATATAAGCTTTTAAACATTTAAAAGCAAACAACGGAGAAACTAAACGAAAAATAAAAACATAACATGTCAGAAGGGAAAGGTAATACCAACTGGTGAATATATTATTGTTCCAGTGGTTGTCTCGCTTCCGAGATGTTTTTTTTTTAATTTAGGGCAAATATCAAAACGTAACTATTTTTCTCACATTAGTTACATTACTCAACGTTCATATAAATTCGATAGTACTCTTACACTAAGCAATTTTCTTTTGCATATGTATACTAAAAACCAAACGATAATCAGGTGATATACACCCAAAGAACCTGCTTCGGGACTATTCGATTTCCCAAAGTTTTAGGCCTAATATCTCCCAAAGTTTTATGCCTAATAAAGTATTTCGATTGTGCCAAAACATCGATGACATTGCTTTTTATTTTATTTTTATCTTCTGTGTCAAAATGTTGTTGAATGATAAAGAACAACAGTGTTAACAGTTTTTTAAATATTTTCAAGTTTTTTAAAATTCATATGGTGACGTTGTGGACTAACGCGGAGAGAAAATGTGACACAAGTTATTTCATTAACCAATTTATTTACTTTTAGATAGATGTTTTTAGTTATATTTACGATATAGCAACAAATATCCTTTACTTGATCACTATTTTGGAATTACTGTTTATAATTATCTTTTCTTTCCAAATAGAAGAGAAGCCTTACTTTTGTTTATATACAACAACAGTATTTTGTGGATTTGTTATTTGAAACATTATGAATATCGTAGCAATTTTTTAAGACAAACAAACAAACCCAATCTGTCATTCGAGAGGATCACTGTGCGAGTAAAATACATCTTAAAAACATCGTACACATAATATACGCTCTAACCCTATATATATAGCCTAATCATATTATTTCTATTTCAGGGTAACTGAGGAGTTGACCCCCCCCCCCCCCGCAACCGTTATAAATCACTGAAAAGTGGTGAATCGTATGATAGATTGGGTTTCACATTTAGCTCTTAAGACTTTACTTAAACACAAAAGAAGATGATCAAAGAAAATACAAAGTTTAGTTTTTAATAATGAAATATCATTTTGATATTAACGATAAACAACATTGTAAGAATACCAATACAAAATTTGTCTCCATAGCTACTACCATGGTAACTAAGTAACACGTCAAGGTGAACAGCACAAAGGTTATTTCAAGTTTAAAGCTACTATTATGGTAACTATATCACGTGACTGGACCACTGTTTTCAGCTTGTAATAAAGCTTTTCTATTCGTTTATTTTAATGGTTGCTTTGAATAACACTTGGTGGCAACCGTTCTTTTATTGTTTGTTATTAAGCACAAAGCTACACAATGTGGTCTCCCCACAGCATGTATCGAAACCCGAATTTTAACTTTATGAACCTTCAGACTTGCCGCTGAGTCATCGGATAGAGGCCCTTTTTATATTTACATAGGAATTTCACGAATATGTAGCTTTGATGCTACTAATTTATTGTTGTAAATTATTTAGCCGTCAAGATTTTTTAAAATGGTAAAAAAAAATAGTGAAGCAATAAATACAGCAAAAACGGTTTTAGAATAAGATACCATGAAATGAAAATAGAAACAGAATAAAACAAGGTTCGTTAAAATTGGGCCACGGGTTACCGAGTTAGCGCCGTTTTTCGGGTCACTTTTATGAACATTTCTAGCATGAGTGATTTTACACCACACTACCGTTCGCGCTCTCTACGAAACTTTTTCGTTCAAATCTATTTCCCTGTCAATGTTTCCATCTTCATTAAAAGGCATAAGATGACAAAAACAAAATCTTGAAGAATTTCTCAATGTGCCTTTTAAAGATATGTTGAAATTAAACGACTGTAATACAAATTATTATTATTTACTTGTACAACATGGCAAGTAAGATTGAATTAGGTACATAAAAAAAAATAATAATATATATGGTTATTGTACAACATTACAGAAGCATGCCAAAACATTACTCTAAAATCGTTGTTCCCTTGCTCTGGTGGAAGCATAATCTCTAATTGCATCTTTATAATTTATTTGCCTAAGCAATGTTCTTTCTATCGTGGGCATGGAAAGGGCATTTAAACGTTCATTTAACATCGAAGCATGTAATTCATTTTTTGCTTTAGCCATCTTGGAAAAAAATCTCCCTGCACTGCAGTTCGTGGCGGGCAGGTACAAGTATATTCTTAATGGCACGTCAACATTAGGAAAAACAGATTCGAATTTGTTTGTATTTTTCTGATTGCTTTGATGCATTGTTGGGCGGATGGTGTTTCACTGTCAAAAAAAATTCGCAAACTGTACCATTTCATTGGAAAAAGATCAGTCTAGATCTAGAGAGTGTCTCCCAATCTTTTAACTGCAGCAAAAAGTTCAATTTCATTTAAATTTTTGAAATTAGATAGAAAATCAAACTTAATTTCTGTCACTTTATATGTAGCAAGTCGATTTTCCAAACACATTTATTACTTGTCAATTACCGGAATAAAAAAAAATTACGCGAAACTTCTGAGTTCCAGATAAACTAATTTCACCTTCAGAAGTCTCATCATTTGCCAGCTTTCTTTTTGTCTTTCAAGAAATCCCACTCCTAAACTGTTCTACTATATTTGAAAGCTGATGAGCTTGAATTTCGATTCTATACAATTCTTCACATTGTGAATTTACATATTCCTTCAACAAACTGATAAGCTTTACAGCAGTAGATAAATCAATGATTTTTTTCTTGAAGCTTAGCACTTGTAGATCAAATCTTCAAATAACTTTATAGGAAAACATTGTCATAAACCCAATATCTAACATTCTCGTTTCAAGGTTGGTATAAATTCTGTCTAAGTATTTAGCCAGAATCTGATCTGACTGACCATCTTATTCCACTGAGGTTCTTAAGAGTAACTGGTCTACTGTCATCGCTTCTTAAGCCATCAGAAATGATTTACCAACGCTTGGTTGAAGAAGCACAAAAATTGTACAGAGTTTGAAGAAAATTAAAAATTCGATGCACATTCGCAACTTTCCACTGCATTCACGCCTACTAGATTTAAGAAATGTGCTGCACAAGGGATGTAATCAATATATTGGTTTATGTTTTTGAGATACGCTTGTAGGCCATTTGTATTTACCTGATATATTTGCTGCATTATCGTAAGATTGTCCACGTGCATTTTGAATGTAGATTCCCATCTTATTTAATTTTTCTACGACAACTTCAACCATTAACTTTCCTGTATGCCCACTTGAAGAATCATAACCGACAAAACATTCCTGTGTATCACCTTCACGTATCACAATATTATAGCTAACTGATCTGAGTGTGAGACATCTGGTGAGGAATCTACAATAATGGAAAAGTAATTAGCAGCGAGAATTTCATCAGCAATTATCTTATAAATTTTATTAGCCATCAAAATAATAATTTCTTCATAAACTGTGGATGATAAATACAAAGTAACTACCCGGCCTTTACTTCCACGCATTTCAAGGTGCTTGGCCAAGAATGGATTAAACTTGGCTGAAAATTCTAATGCATCTAATAGGTTGCCATTGTTGAAATCTCCAATCTCCTCTCTATCCCCCTCTAAGTGCTAATCCTCTTCCACACAAGAATTTTAGACATTCAATAACTCGACGCAGTACCTCCCACCGATATCGTATTTCGTTTTCTAAATCATTGTTTAACTTTGAATCCACGGTTTCTATGCTATTAGTTTGTTTGTTTTAATTTCGCGCAAAGATACACGAGGACTATCTGCACTAGCCATCCTTAATTTAGCAGTGTAAGACTAGAGGAAAGGCAGCTAGTAATCACCACCCACCGCCAACTCTTGGGCTACTCTTTACCAACGAATAGTAGGATTGACCATCACATTATAACGCCCCCACAGCTGAAAGGACGAGCATGTTTGGTGTGACGGGGATTCGAACCCGCGATCCTCAGATTGCGAGTCTAGCGCCCTAATATGCTATTAGTTTGTCCCATCAAGCAGTGTACAGAATAAATGTGAGCTTTACTTTTTTCATGGTTTTGTATAGCTCTATAACTATGCGACCAATCGCAGAATCCTTTTATAAAACAATACAATTTAATTATAAACAAATGTATAAAGTTAAGAAGTTTTAAACTATTTAGTGTAAAGAAATGTTTCCTGCTATAATATAAAGTAATTCTAGAAAGAAAAAAATTTAATTTTGATTTATTTTGTATTTTTTTATGATGGTTACGAGGTCGGTCAAATTGATCTAGTCTGTATTGAGTAAGAATTAAACACAGATAAAAATATGAAGATTTATCGAAAAAGAGTTAAACTGACTGTCAGGATCGTCACTAGGGGTCCCTCACCGCTTGGGACCCTGGCGCAACTATGTAATGGTTAATGCGTCCCTGGACTGAGAGGTAAGTAAATGATATGTTAAAATATTACAAAAATTCCATAAATGTTTGTTTTATGACAATGTGATTTTAAAGGTGTTTCACGATTGTTTTCATCACATTCATGAATTTTGAAGATGATAAAAAAAATAACAATAGCAACATTTTTTTTCTGTTTATTACGACTTTTATTCATACAATGTAAGCACTTACTACAAACTACTTGCACACATAAAAACATCTCAGAATACAAAAAATAAAACGGTATAAAATACGAAAGAATACTTTAAAAGCACTTAGTTTTGCAAGAAAAGTTTACAGAAATATGAGATGCTTATGATAAAATAAATGCTTCAATTGGTAAAGCATCTAAAATATTTAAATTTGTCTGGGAACTACTATCAATGAAAAAGC